TAACGATAGGCTATCAGTTAGCATGTACATACCCAGCCAGTTACAGCTTATGAAATAAGCAAACAATGCTCAGTGTGCCCAACAAGGCAATTTGCACATTGGGAAAAGTTAAATAAAGGCACTCAGAGCTCATCCAGATTGCCTTCGGAGAAGGACCCTGGTGGAAGTGTTCTGGATGAATTTTCATGTAGCAGAACTAGCCCTGGGATTTTTCCTAGGAAAGTGCCTTGCTCAACATGGTCTTTGGAACCAAAAGGCTTGAAGCTGCAACTAATAGTTCAGTGTTGCTTGGGATACAAAACCACGGGGTCAGTGGTTCACTCTACTTTCACTCTGGTCAGTTAGATGCCTTCAGACAGCCTACTAATATGTTTTGGGACATTTGTCTACTTCTACGGTAGTCCCTGATGCCTGCTATCTGGAAGTTAGCTGTCTCTGAAACTTGAATTTGTATATAGCTATTATAAGCTATTTTCTACTTCCCGGCATCCATCTCATCATTTTTGAAACTAATGTGATGGCTAATGGTAGCCATCACATCTTGAGGCAGCAATTGAGTGAAGGACTGGCATTTGTTTTTTTTTTAAACAACATTTTTCAATCTTGGCCACTTTTAAGATGTATGGACTTCAATTCCCAGAATTCCCTTGCCAGCATAGCTGGCTGAAGAATTCTGGGAGTTGAAGTACACACATTTTAAATTTAGCAAGGGTAAGAAATACTGGTTTAAGGACAAGCACACTGTCCTTAAATGACTCCTTCTAAATATAACTTTTTTTTTATAAAGGGGAGGGGAGAAACCTCAAGATTTAGAGAATAACTTCATTTTTCTTCCAAGGACATCAGCTTAGCCTCAGAACAGATACTGAAAATATAACTAACCTTTGATGCCCAAGAATACTAGCCAGGCTGTATGTATCTGAGTCCATGATCTGATTAACCACTAGGGTGGTTTGCAAACTGCGGTGCAAGTTTAGATAGATTCATTAGACATGCTGAACCATAGAATTCTAGAGTGGAATCGAATCACTGGACCCTTGAACCAAATCTGCAACTTAGTGCAGGAATCTAACCTGAAGCATCTTTAGACTATAATAGGTTATATTAAAGATTAAAGATGTGACCTCTTCATTCAGTGTGCAAGTGGATTTATACTTCACACTAATGCTATGATGTTTGCTTAGTTTGGATTAATGTCTTGTTACAACCCATCCAATTGCAGACAGTGGTGTAGGAATCCAGTTTGTGTCTTGCACTCTAAAGCAAAAGAATTTTACTATTTGCTAGATTTTTATTTCACATGGTTTATAAACCTTGGGTTCTTATTTGAATGGATGAATATATCACACTAACCCAGAAACAAATAACCCATATCGTCATCCTGCACAAAATGTCACACTAACTAGGCAAAGTGCAAAATGGCTTATATCTTGTTGTGAATGTTTAAAAAGCTTAGGCTAGTGATATACTTTGCTTAGGGTGGATTAACATATTGCTAAAACTAAGCCAGTTGTAGGTCATGGTGTACGAATAGTTTGCCTCTTATGTTCATCTATCCACCCATTTAGAGATTGGGTTTCTCACGTTCCTTTTCCATGAAGTGTTTATGTGGTAAACATAGTTAAATAAATCATGATTTATCATATAAACCCCACCACAAGCTGACTTCGCACATTGTGCTATATTGCAACACTGCTTGGTTTTAGTCAAGTGTCTTGTCTGAATCAGATTTGTTTTTGAACCGTGTTTTATAATTTATCTGCAAATAAAAACCTTTATGACTTGTGTGACAAACTTGGGTCAATTTAGGTCACACCTTAGAGCGAACCTTGCAAATATCGTCATGATCATCTTTTCGTTAAGGAAACGTGTTCAATCCGAGCATAACTAGTTTCCTCAAGCAGACCGGCTTTTTGCTGCCCTCACAGCCTGTTCAGAGTTTGGTTCTTAATTGTAGCCAAGCAGTTTAACCACTCTTGCACCTTGTCCCATCTCTTGGTGTAATCTTGAGTAGTCATGGACTTTGTGTCACAGAGACGGTTGTAGGCCCAAAGTCTGCTTTGCTTGAGCTGTTTGGTTACCTTCTCCCCAGTGGAGGTATTCTGCCGGTGTGGCCCGGTTCTGGCATACTGGTAGCGCTGAAGATTGGTGGAGACCAAACCGGTTCTCTCTAAGGAGCAGCGGCCGTTGGGCCCACCTACCTATCAGGGCTTATTCCGTGCTTTGCATGGCACAGCAGATTGCCGAGTGTCAGCTGCTGAAGCGACAGGGAGAGTGCAGGATTGTAGGAGGTGAGTCGGCCAACCTCTATGCCTGCACAAAGTGCGTGTTTGGAGTGAGCGCCAAGCATGCCCACCAAGCCACACCCACCGATGGTAAACTATTTTGAAACGCACCACTGCTTCTCCTCTTAAATCCTCTGCTGTCCTGAGGTTCCTGGCAACCTGCTAAGTATTCTGTCGTTCACTGAACCAAACCTTTGCTGCATCAGACTTGAAGAATGTTGACTTGAAGACTTACCACCTGGCTTTTTTTTTTTTTTTAGTCCTTTTTAGTTGTCATTGTTATTCAGCTGTGTTCTCACTGTTGTTATTATAAATATAAACCACACTCGGAATACAAGCCCTAATTTGGGTTTTGTCTACTTGGGGAGCTCTCCTGGTTCATGACTGCCTGGGAACACCCTTCCCCAAGATGGCACCCTTCAAATGCATGATGGCTGCTAAGAATCCTGGCTGCTAAGGTCCATCTGTCTGTCTGGAGAGCTCCCAGGACAAAAAAACCCGTCTGTCTTAAATGTTGTGGAAAAAAACACCATCACATGGAGTTTAGTCAGCTGGGAAGTCCAGTCCCAAGTGGGCAAGGTATACATAGCTACATGTCTTTGGAGAACAGCTTTATTTTGTACATGAAAAGTAAATCGGTGCCTTAGTTAAAAAAAAATCAAACAGCCAAGTACTTATTCCATAGGCAGGTTAAGAATGAGCCCTGGATTGCTATGAATAGTGGTCATATTGTCGCATTTGGATACAATAGGAAGTTGGGTTCTAAAGGAAACTGGCTTACCAGGAAAGAATGGAATGCTGGTTCCTTTGCAGCCCGGTTGTTTCACCCAGAAGATGATAGTAAGATAAGCTAGCTAGGAAAAGGAAGCTGATTATTTTATCTAAGCCAAGATCCCCAGCTTTTTCTTTTCAAGGGATCGTAAACTAAGGTTAATGTTTAGTTTACAAATCCTGGCTGCTTTGGACGCTGCAAATTCCAATCCCAGTTTTCCATAACATTCTGTTACAAAAAATGTTTCTGTTGAGGAATGTTATACAATAGTAAAAAAAATGTTACGAATTTAAGGGGAAAAGATGAATAAATGAAAGTGGTGAATAGGAAAAAAAGTATGAAGAAGTGGCTTCCGGTTTTTAAAATAAATTTATCATCCTCTTCCTTTACAGTTACCAAGTGATTCCCTTCTTCTTATATTTTTCCCGTTCCAATCATCAGATCCATCAATCATCAGTTTATTTTTATTATTTTCAGCAAAAGGCCCATAAAGAGTTTCCCATAGCATTCATTATGTGGTGTAATTAAACCATATCTGCTGGTGGACATAGCCAACCAGGTGCAGATTGGCTCTGGGTGATGGCTCTGCAGTATCTCCCTAGGTGCCTGCATAACATCTGACTTACATCTTTCAATAATAATTTCATTTTGTTAAAAAATAGGATATGCCATCAAGGATAATAGTAGAGAGAAATCTTTGGTGGGTCAGCTAGAGAGGGTGTGGTGAAATACTTTGACATGTCAGCCCTCCTGTCCCCAATAGCTAGCATATTTGTATGTGTGTGTGTGTGGAGATTTTCCAAGAATTTAAAATTATCATACAAAAATACAGAAGACAATACAGATAATAGAAAATGGGGAAGGGAAAGAAAAGGGGAAGGAAGGTATAAGTACATGGGGAAAGGGGAAAAAAATCCAACTTCTTTCAGCACAATGAAGTAGAGAATAAAATTACAGCCTCAACATTTTTACTTTACCAGCTTAACAAGTACTAGCTATTTCTCTATCAACTAACTATATTAATCAGCAAAACCCAACATCAAGGATTCATTTTTCTCTGTCTCGAGCACAAAGTCTAGAAGCGGTTTCCAAGTAGTAGCTGACATATTATGAATACACTGTCTCCCCGGTAGCCATTTTGCAGGAACGCCCGTAATGCATTCCGGCAAGTGCCTTATAGGAAGGTTGGGGAACACATTCTCTGGCAGGTAGCTTGTTGTGATAAATCAGGGTTCTTCAGAAAGCCAGTCTGCTTTTGCAGGTAAGCATGCAACCCCAGGAAGCTCCCAGCTTTTAACAAACCATCCTTTCACTCTGTATTCAGAAAAAAATGCTAGATCACCTTAGTGTAATACAAGCCAATCCAGTGCTTACTCCTTAATATGTAATTATTTTTAAGAGATACCAGTAGTACTCGATTTACTACTTACTTACTACTATTACAAGACTACCTGTACTTGAACGCAGCTTTGCTTCTCCTCTTTTTTCCTTGGGAATATAATTTTGCATGTGAGACAAATACCCACTCCGGGAAAATTCTGCTTGTGTGTTGTAGAAAATAGAATCACTTTCAGTTTAGAGGGTTCTCGTTTGCTTTTTTAATGTGCCAAAAAAGTTACACCACTACTACTATGCCTGAGCAAAGTGGTAGGAAATCTGCAAGTCAGTGTTTCTCTACCTTGGCGGTTTCAAGATGACTGGACTTCAACTCCCGGAATTCCCCAGCCAGCCAGTGTTGAGAAACACTGCTACAAGTGATCCTAATTCATGCAAAGTTACCTGCCAACGGAGGCAAGGGCGGGTCTGTTGAATTGAGGAACATTGAAGTCTGGACAGTGGTTGACTGATGGTCTTGCCAGAAAACATCTTGGCAATCTCCCATCTTTTGCTCCTTGCTGGATTTTTGAACGTAAAGCATTCTCACACAACATTTCCTCCTATAGGATTATATTTGCCCAAGGTGTGAATCTGGTTTTATTGAAGAGCTGCCCGAAGAACCAAGGTAACAAGCCTTTTTTTACTTTTGAAAATGACAACTGCATATGTGGGGTAGGTCGGGGTCAAGTGTAGGCAAGTTTTCTCAAGAATTATTTTCTGTCTACATGTGAGGGGTTAGATCCACGTATAAATCAGTATGATTGGTGGATAAATGCTTGGTTTCTTTGTGTTGAAAACTCCCCATATCTAGAAGATATGCAAAGTGGATGAAGGTCCTTAGCCAAAATCTTCCTTTCCTTAGAATAACTGACTGTTTCCATCACCCTTGGCCACAGAAGCCAGGAAGGAAAAAATATTCATATCCCAGCATTTCTGTCCCTTCTTCCTGGCCCACTTCCCTCAGATGTCTTCACGAATGATCTCCCTGTCTGAAGTTGGATGTGATACAATCTTATTTCCTCAGTTTGTTTTTGCCACACATACATCAAGGAAAGGAGTGGCACCAAAGCTGGTTCAACGTCATTAGCTGACTCACATCTGGTGCAAGTGGTATGCTTAAGCAATGCTAAATTTCCAAGATCAGTTTAGTTCCTAATATGGGGTAGACCTCAAATTGCAACTGGTTGCTTAGTGACCATTCAAAGTTATGACCAACTCCCAAAAGGGGAGTTCATGACCTGGATTCGAAGATCCAACAGTTGGCCCCTTCTCAGTGGCTATGTGACCAAACTTTGGGCGCTTTGCAACATGTTCACATTTACAGATGTTTGGAGTGTCCTACTGTCACATGACTGCATTTTACGACTGAAAACTGCTACTTCTGGTTTTCAGCAAAACTGTACCCATACCGAGCCATTAGTTTGCTTAACGACTGTGGTGATTTGTTCAATGAATGTGGTGATTTGCTTAATGACTACTGCAAAAATGTCATAAAATATGGTGGCTGACCCATTTTGTGGCTATCAGGACATAAGACCTTACTGGGCCAATTCCATTATGGTCATATGTCAAGGATCCTGTATCCATAAAGCAACAAATGACTGGGCCTTGGTAACCCTTTGGATGTAAAGCAGGTCAGGAAACAGGCTCCATAAGAAATGCTAAAACTCTCCTGATATAGGCTATAATTGTAGAATCTTGACAGCCTGTCAGTGTTTCCCCTTCCTTCCCTCTTGGACCAAAGGGAATCAAAGTGGAGCAACCTTGAGTTTCTTTCTCACACTTTCCCATATCTTGAGCTAAATTCATAAAGCCGTATTCATACTTTTTTTATACTGGGGCCTCCTGCTTTCCAGGTATGCCCTGTCTTTAGAAATGGTGATGATAAAACCTGCCTTAGTGACAGCTTTGCAACTGGATGTCTGTGGAACTTCTCAATTATCCAGGTCATGGTTGTCCCAAAGGTGCTTTTCAAAAAGCAACTGGACTTCTTTGTTTTTTGTTTTCCTTAAAGATGTTTTGCTTCTCGTCCAAGAAGCTTCTTCAGTTCTTTTGAAAAGTATCTTTGGGCCTTTGCAACTAGAGTTGAGGTATCCTGTGTGGTGCCTGAGGGCATAATAAGCTTTCAGATACCTCTTTTAATCTCTGTCAGGAATTGTGTCCCAATCTTACATCAAAAATAGAAAGTAAAAGTTAAAGAGAGGGAAGTAGGAGTGTTACAAAGATAAACACCATCCCCCAGTGTAATCTTTATTTCTAAGCATATCTGAGGGCCTCCTGGACTTTCTTAGAAAATCACAAATTGCTGACCCAGGGTTTTTTTTTTGCTAAAGAAAAGGACATAGGAGGATTCTGTGTGGAATTTTGTAGCTGCTTCTGTCATCAGCCCAGAAGGTGAGAACTTCTCAAAAGTGCTCACCAGTTCAGAAACTTTGGCAAATTCTTCTCTTCAAAATCCTCGTGTATATCACAAAAGTTTTGTGGTCCCCCCCTCCTTTATATCTGACAAAGATGCATTGTTCTGCCCCAGTTTTAGAGTTAATTGCATGGAAGGGTTTGTATCTATTGGAATTCTTACTGAATTTTTGGTGAATTCCTCTGCTGTTATAAATTCTAACAAACCCCACATCTGTCGTGTGGTCACTGGCACTGTTAAATTTTATATCAAGGCTCTCAATCAAGAACTATTACCATTGTTGTCTAGTACTATTTTTGCTTTATTTCCTTGTTAAAATAAAGGCAGATCCAAATTTATTCAAGTTAAAATCAACGGTTCCAGTTCTATACTACAACCATTCCTGTATTAGGCCAGCTCAAAAGTTGCCAAAAACACATTTTTAATTTGACCACAAGTTTGCAAAAACCTGATAAAAGAAGGTGAGGTAAAAATGTCTTAATGTTGGTGGCAGAAAGGATTTCAGGAGGGAATATGGGAGAATGCTGCAGACATTTAAATTATCTTCTCTCTCTCCTGGGCTGGTTTCAGGTTTTAACCTGGTTAAGCCCCTGGGATTACTGGTTTCAGATTGCAGTAAAATAAATGATACTCTTCTGCTCCTTCCTTTCATGAGTAGATAAATATACATATTTAATTAAAATGGGCCTATTGTATCCTTCACAATAGGTACGCTAGGGAAGTTTACACCTTGTAAAAGATACAATAATATAATTAAAGTCACTGAAAGTAAATCTCCCTGTTTGCAGGAAGGGGTTTCCTTTGGATTACACAGCATGCAGTATGCATAAAGCAGGGGAGATTCATCCAGCAGTGTTATTTCTTTTTTTGCCAGGAACATTTGGCATGTGTGGGGCCCTGAAAAGGAATGTAACGCACAGCCTCATTTATCTTTTATAAGTATCGTGCTAGGTGCTCTTGAGCCTCATGTCCCACTGCACAGGTTCACCATCTTATTAAAAAGCAGAAAAAAACCCCACATAGGACAAGTTGAAGTTGAAGAGAAGGAGGATTTTTTCCCCCAATTTGAGAAAAAAATTGAAAGGTAGGTTACCGAATGAAGGAGAAATGGAAAGATTAAAAAAGAATACATGTAGAAGGAAAAACAAGAAGAATAAATATTGGCAGTTTTTCTTTCCCCCTAAAAGAAGACCTGTTAGAGATTGTTTCTATCACTCATGTAAACCCAACACAAGTTACTCATTTTTTTTAATTATTATTAAATGTATTTGCTACCTATCTTGTCATGGGGTTTCTGTAGGCATTCACAACCATAAGTAACGAAATAAAAAGGAAGTTTGAACAAACACAAGTTAAAAATAGAACAATGAAGCAGACAACAGAAGAAAACACATAAGTATCACTATTTTAAAAAAAAGACTTCATCTATATCAGGGGTGTCCGCAGGGATTTGGCTGCAGGGTGCTTAGATCTGGGCCCTGGAAACAGCAAAGGACCAACCCACAGTGCCTCTGCCAGGGAAAATTGAGCCCAGGAGGGCTGTGTACTGTTTTTGCTGGCAGAGGGTTGCAGGAGGCCATTATGACCAAAAACTGAGCTTGTGAGGTCTGTGCGTGGCCCTCCCGAGCTCTGTTTTCACTGGCAGAAGGTTGCAGGGGGCCGTCCCAACTGAAAACGGAGCTTGGGAGTGCTCGGGCCACAGCCACCCCCGACACGACTGGTGTCACACCCACCGCGGCCATGCCCACCCCAGCCCACTGAGGTCAAACACAACCCTGATGTGGAGTCTGACATCCCTGATCTATATTGCGGGGTTTGTTTTTTTAGAGAGGCACCTAAAAATGTACAGTCGTTTGACTAGTTCTTGTCTAGCGTTCTCAGGAATCGTAATTTCCATCCTACTTGGCTTATTTCCCCCCCCCCCCCGAACTCTTCCAGAAATGTTGAAAATGGGTCCAGTTCTTCAGCCTCAACCAGTGACCAGGCCAGACATCCGTTTGAGGTGAGTTCTTTATGAATAAAGTCTCCATTCAGTGAAACGGGTATAAATACATCGATAGACCATTAAGAAAAACCTGCCAGAGGTTTACCCAGGATCTTTATGTCTTTGTCCTTTTTTTCTTGAGAGATTCCAAGTCCAATCCTAAGAGAGCCCCTTGCATTTGGGAAAGGAATGGAGAACATCTATTATGGACAATGGATGGTATTTGGGGGGGGGGAGGGGCTGCTGAGAATTCAGGGCAGGGCCTAGAATCCTCTTCAGTTAGACCATTGTCTCTCAACCTTTTTCACTTTGAGGTCTGTGGACTTTTTTCCATCATTGCTGGCTGGGGAATTCTGGGAGTTGAAGTCTACACATCTTAACTTGCTAAGATTGGCATAGGGAATCATCCATCCATTGCAGACTGGAACATTCTTTTCTCTCAACTCTGGCTCAGAACTTCCAGACAGGCTGGTGACTGTAGGCCCTACTAGCCCCACGGACACGTCACTTGGCACCCAATCAGATCCTTTTTTAAAAAAATTTCAAGAGTAATGCAGAAAGCTCCTACAGAGAAGGAGCCTCTAGCATTGCATTTATTTCTGTGAATGCCTTTGGGCCTCACTGGCACTCTGAGAAAATAGAAATGGTTAGAGGATGCATCCCAGGGTTTTGGATACTTAGCTATGCAGAAGAAACAGCAAAAGGAAGTTAGGTTGCTAAGAAGAGTTCTAGAGAAGATAGTAGAGGAAAAAAAAATTGGCAAATGAGTATTTTGTGACCGGCAGCCATTTTGTGAATGGGTCACTTTCTTGCCATGGCAGCCATTTGATAAGAGTGCCTGTGATGATGTGCTTCCAAAATTCTGGCAGAAAAGCAGAAAGGTACCTGGATCAGCCATTTCGGAGTTTCAACTTCCATAAGCTTCAGATAAGATGAATAATGGTGAAGGACTGTGGAACTTTAATTCCATAGTTGGATGATGTCAGCTTACCTGTCTCCCCTCACTGGCAGTCCTGGGTTTCTGGCCCATCTCCGTAAGTCACCTTCCTCTGTTCTAAGCAGTTTCCTTTTCTCTGTCTGGCGCATTCTCTCTCCTTTCTAGAATGTAGATCAGCCCCTCTTCACCCTCCCGCAGGGCTACGGCCAGTTTGCCTTCGGGATAATCGATGACAGTTTTGAGTTCCCAGCTTTTGGGTCCAACACACAAACAGAAGATAACCGCGATGCTGAAAACAGGCGGGAGAGGGAACATCAGTCTCGGCACCGATATGGAGCCAGGCAACCTCGGGCTCGTTTCACCGCACGACGGGCGGCTGGCAGACACGAGGGAGTCCCCACACTAGAAGGGTGAGGACAGCTTGTCCAGCTGCGATGGGCAAGTCGCTTCTTTGAATATAGGTATTTTAAAACCATGGAAATGGATTCCTGGTTCATGGTGGTTGCTGATTCAGTTTGGATGTAGGAGAACAGTAATTTGGGGAGTGGGTGTGTGTGTCTAGTAAATCAATCGGAACTGTGCTTTCCACAAATTGGAAGGGCCACACCAAGTTAGAGATGAAAGATCCTGTACAATTACAAAATTATGTTGCAGTGCTTCCAGAGTTGAAGAATTGAGCATTACTCATTTTTCCAGCCACCCTTTGGAGGTCACTAAAGCAAGGCTCTCCAACCTTGGCAACTTTAAGACTTATGGACTTAAAACTCCCAGAATTCTTCAGCCAGTGTGAGACTGAGGAATTCTGGGAGTTGGTCCAGAAGTCTTAAGGTTGCCAAGGTTGGAGACGCCTGCACTGGAGCATGGCCATTGGAATTAAGAAGGCAGCCAGCAAAATTCCAATGACCAGCCCCTCCCCTCCCTCCCCTGTGTGATCACATGATTGTATTTTAGGTGCTCGACTACCAGCCTGCATTTGCAGCCATTTGCAATGTCCTGCAGATATATAATCATCCAGCATTTACTTCGTTTCCCAGCAAAAAGCACACTTGGCAAACAGTATTTTGCAGAACGATTGCCAATTCACTTAGGACCATGATGATTTGCTTAATGCAGAAAATATAAAATCGGGTCTGTCACATGATGACCCACTTAATGACCGGCACAATTTAAAAACCGTTAATTCCAGCGTCAATTCCAGTTAGAAGTTGAGGATTACCAGTATCCTCTTAAAATTCCACATATTCCAGCACCAGAAATTGGGGAACTGTGAGCTCATTCAGCAGTTGTCTTCTCCCTGCTCCAGAATGCCTCAACCTTTTTGTTTTTTTTCTTTCTTTTTGGCAGAATTATCCAGCAGCTGGTCAATGGAATTATAGCACCGACCACGATACCAAACCTTGGAGTAGGACCTTGGTGAGTTGGTCAGAGCACATTCTAGATCAATGTATCTCAACCTGAGCAACTGTAAGAAGTATGGATTCCCAACTCCCAGAATTCTGGCTGACTGGGGAATTCTGGGAGTCGGTCCACACATCTTAAAAAAATGTGGGATTCTTAGGCTTATTCTAAGAATCCTCCAAAGTCAATAAACCTTGACCATTTGCCTTATGGCAGCCCAGCCAGTTCCAGTGAAGGCTTAACTTTTCCTCCTGTCCTTTCTTTGTTTTGGTGCTTTCTATTTATAAAGGGGAGTCTTGCATTCAAATCCCATGGACTACGCTTGGGGCGCCAACGGCTTGGATGCCATTATTACTCAGGTACAGCTGGCTGTGTGTAGGGCACATCTCTTTTGCGGGGCAGGGGTGGGGCAGAATGATGGCATACGGAGGTTTCAGAGCTTAGGACTCCCACGTCCTCTTCTGTGGGCTCCCACTGAGATACAGCTTAATTCCAGGAGGCTCAAGTTCCATTAGTTAAAGAGAAACTCCATGTTGAGTTTTCATCCCAAGACTTGTGCTGGAATCCAGCAGCAGAAGAAGGCTGTAGCCTACAATCCCTTCTTATGCGGTTTCTGCAGGCACTGGCCTAAAACCAGGAAGGAAATAGAGTGTGTACTAATGGGCCTAGCTTAGTCTGTGCACTAAACGTATATTAAAAACTGCATAATTGTACCACAGTTATAAACATGACCAAGATGAGACCCTTCCAAGTATCCATGCCTTGGCCAATATCACTTACAGGTAGTCTTTGACTTACAACCAGTCATTTAGTGACTGTTCAACAGCACTGAAAAAAGAATGACAATTTTTTTGTACTTATGACCATTGCAGCATCCCCCGTGATCACAAGATCAAAATTCAGGTGCTTGGCAACTGACTCATATTTATGACGGTTGCAGTGTCCCAGGGTCCTGTGTTCACCTTTTGGGACCTTCTGACAAGCAAAGTCAATAGGGAAGGCAGTTTCATTTAGCAACCTTGTTACTAACGTAACAAGTGCAGTGATTCCTTGAAAAACTGTGGCAAAGAGACATCGTAAAATGGGGCAAAACCCACTCATTTAACAATTGTCTCGCTTAGTAACAGAAATTTTGGGCTCGGTGGTGTCAATTAATAATGCTATCGTTTGGTTAATGTATAATAATTTGGAGGTAACCCCGTGCACGTCCTCCATAAAACATTTGGAGTTAGAAAGCAAATGGGAATGGAAGGTTTTAAGCACGTGGGGCTCTTGTTCTGAAAAATGGTTTAAAGCAGTGTTTCTCAACAACTTTAAGATAGGTGGACTTCACGCTGGCTGGGGAATTCTGGGAGTTGAAGTCTACCTATCTTAAAGTTGCCAAGGTTGAGAAACACTGGTTGAAAGGAAGCTGAAACTTGGGCTTTGTAGAGTGGCTCGGTAGAGTGGGAGGCGCGTTTGAGTGGCCGGCAGCAGAAGCCTAGCCTGAACATTGGAGGATCAAGCGCCCCTGGCTAGTGCATGTCCAGATTCACCTTGAGGAGCTTAGTTGGTGGTGGCGGTTTTTTTAAATCATAACTGAGCTTTTAAGTTTTGTGACCTCCAGACCGGCTCTTAGCTGCTCTGGCCCTCTTTATTGGGTAGGAGGGGAAGTAGCGGCAAATAGGCAAGGAGGGCTGCTCTCACGTTGCCATTAACAGGCTGCAAATTTTGCTGACCCTGGTGATCCTGATACCCAGGCCTAAGAAAGGGTGGGTGGGTGTGTCTTTTTTTTTTTTTTTTTTTAGACATGAACTGCTGTACTGGGGGTTCAAGTGGGATGCTGAGACATTCCCCTGCAGATGGGAAAGCAGGAGGAAGGACAGCCTGTTAACAAGAATTAATTTTAATCCTGAATTTATTTCAGCAGGCTGGCCTTCTCTGGGCTAGGAAGTTATGGAGGATTTGGCCTGGGTAATTCTTGGATTAGAGGCTCCAGGGAGTTCCAAGCTTGATTTACAGCCACAATCTGGCAGCAACGTTGGGACTGTCTCTCCTTCCTTTGTCACCCTTTTATTTTCTTTCAGCTCCTGAATCAATTTGAAAACACCGGCCCACCTCCTGCAGACAAGGAGAAGATTCAGGCCCTTCCAACCATTCATATAACAGAGGAACATGTCGGTAAGGGCTTACTCATTATTTCTGCCTCTCTTCCCTCCTCCCCCCTCGCCAATGCATTCAGAAAGACCTGGGTCATCTAATCTAGAGATTTTCATTTGAATAGCATCATTATTTTTAAAAGATTCTAATGTCTCCTTGTAGTTTTTGTTGGCCAGCTTTCCTCCTTCTCTTTTGCCCCTTGGTTTATTCTCTGGTTCGGGGTTGGTGGCTTTCATTCCTTTCTGTGGCTGGGAACCAGAGACAGGGAAGGTTTCTTAGGCTCACCCTAGATTAACTTGGGACCGATCTCAACTTCTTCCTAAAGCTTCAGAAGATTGTAGCTTTTGTTTGTTGCTAAGGACCTACAAAACAGTATCACCTTTCATGCTCTTTAATCTTCTCCTATTCAAATGGAATGAGGTGGCTGGATAGCACTGAACAGGGACATATTTCTCAAGCTGAGCATTGCTAGTTTTGACTACAGTGCTGTATTATGCTTTGCACATGAAGCTGAAGGATCGAAGCAGATCGCTGTCTCAGCCTTCTGAAAAGAAGTAGAACCGTAAATATCTTCAGCCATCCAGTCAGTGGATTGAGAGCAATGTATGGGTAGTTCTCTACCTACAACCATTTAGTGACCCTTCAAAGTTACAACAGCACTGAAAAAAATGACTTATGATTGTTTTTTGCACTTAACAGTTGTTGCACCTTCCCTACGGTCACATGATCAAAATTTGGACACTTGGCAACTGGCTCATATTTATGACAGTTGCAGTGTCCCGGGGTCATGGGATCACCTTCTGCGACCATCTGACAAGCAAAGTCAGTGGGGGAAGCCAGATTCACTAAAGAACCGTGTTACTAACTTAACAACCGCAGTGATTCACTTAACAACTGGGGCAAGAACGTTCGTAAAATGGGCAAAGCTCACTTAACAACTGTCTTGATTATTGGGGGCTCAATTGTAGTTGTAAGTGGAGGTCTACTTGTACCATAACAAAAGGAAGCTCAGCGAACCTGATAGTAAATTCTTAACAGATCCCAATTGCTTCTGCCTTCATCATCCTCCAGAACAGGAGTCGCCAATCTTTTGGACCTCAGGGACCACCAAACTCATAATTTTAAATCCCGCAGACCAGAAACCCTGGAAAAATCCCACCAAAAATCTGAAGGAAAATTCTCCACCCTATTTTCCTACCGATCAATCATTTTTTATTTGGGATCGCAGGATACCGTCTTCACCTCCGTTCTCAGGGGGTGAGGGAGAGAGAGAGAGAGAGACTTTTGGCTTCATGAAAGGAAAGCAGCAGAAGTCTTTCTCTCCCCCAAACTCCACCAGAAATGAGTCTTTGCCAGCACAGCCTCTTGGAGCAGGAAGCCTTGCAGGGTCCCAATCTCGTTTCTTGGCAGAGTTTGAGAGAGAGAAAGAAAGACTTTTGCTGCTTTCCTTGCATGCAGCCAAAAGCAGAAGCAGAAAAAAGCAGGAAGAAGCAGCCCGGTGGGGCAAGTTTCCCCCCTCCGCCCTTTCCCCCCTCCCCTCACTATCTCATGTTGCTCGCAATGCAAGGGACGCAAGCCTTGTGTTCCCATGGGCCATGTGAGTGACACAGCCTTGTGTTCTTGCACAGCCTGGATTAATTGCTTTGGGGGGTGCTTTGGGGGTGACATTTCTCTGCGGACCACCAGTGGTCCCCGGCCTACTGATTGGCAACCACTGCTCCAGAACACTTGGTTTCTCATCCATTTCTGTGTTTTTTTTTCTCTTCGTTAGCTGCTTTAAATATCTAGGTAATCCTCGACTTATGACCACAAACGGGACCAGAATTTCCACTGCCAAGCAAAGGGGTCGCGCCTGCATTTTACAACTTTTTTTGCCACGGTGTTCACTGAATCACTACAGTTGTTGAATGAATCACATGGTTGTTAAATTAATCCGGCTTCCTCCATTGCCTTTCCTTGTCAGAAACTGGATGGGAAGGGTGCAAATGGAGGTCCGGACGTACAAATCGTTCGTCTGATCTGGGTATAGGAGCGAAAGACTAATTGAACCATCCAGTAGCTCAGGAGTGTCAAACTCACGTTGTCAAGTCAGTGTCACATGAGACTTTTCCCCACTTCGCTAAACCGGGCGTGGGCGTGACCAGCGCATGACGCATCCGGCCCGCGGGCCAGGAGTTTGACAGCCCTGTAGTCGCTGGTTCCCTCCGAAATTCCCTCAGGTCAGCTGGCACCAGGGGTGGGATTCATCCGGCATTACTACCAGTTTGGCTGTGCGCATGTGTAACATAACCTCAGGCTGTGCCGCCTGGACAGCTGAAAAAGGTTTCCACGCAGGTGCGCAGCATTCGAAAAGCCTCTTTTCCCCTCCTTTTTCAACCTCAGCTGTGCCGCGCAAAGCAGCTGAAATAAAGGACAGGTAAGAGCCCGGGCAGGCAGGTGGGACACGCAGCAGCAGACATAGAACCGGTTCTGTGTCTGCTGCTCTTCAGAGCTACCAGTTCTATAGAGCCGGACAGAACTGGTAGCATCCCAGCCCTGGCTGGCGCTCATGGAAACAAGGCTGCCGCATTTTTATCCAGTCAAGAGAATGATTAAAGGTCTTGGGGCTGAAACAATCTCGACCTATTCTCAAACTTCAAATGGGTAAGAACTCCGGGTCGCTGGCATGGAGCCAGGCGTGGAAGGCGAGACACCTAGTGGGCCCCTTTTGGTAAGCAGAACTGGGGCTGCAGGATGAACCAAACGCCAACTCCAGAAAAGGGGTTGGTTGATATAGCCATCATAAATACATGCCAGATGCCAAGGCGCCCAAATTTTGATGATGTGATAGTGAGGATGCTGCAACCGTTGTAAATGGAAGGGCCGGTCCTAACCCTTTTTAGTTCCATTGTAAGTTAACAGTCAATAAACAAATGGTTGTAAGTGGAGAAGCACCTGTACAGGTATTCCTTGTTTAGCAACCATTCGCAACTACGGTCACAATGAAAAAGTAACTTTGCAACCCATCCTTCCATTTACAACCTTTACGGGTCTTTAAAGCAGAAAGGAAAGCTAAAATCATAAGCACTGTTGCGTTTTCACTTAGCCACTGCTTCACTTAATGAGAAAGTTGCTGGTCTCAGTTGTGGTCGTTAAACAAGGACTACCTGTAGCAGGGATGAACAGCTCAGCTCTAGTTCATTTATCTCTCTCTCTCTCTCTCTCTTTTTCCCAATGGTAGTTTCGGGACTGGAATGTCCTGTCTGTAAGGAAGATTATGAAGTTGGTGAGAGCGTGCGACAATTACCCTGCAATCACCTCTTCCATGATGGCTGCATAGTCCCGTGGCTGGAACAGGTGAGCTGTCAGGGGAAGTCATGGGAGGGGCTTGAGCAGAGACCATCCCATGTCCACTGCTGCTTTGGGGAGGCTAGACACGATCCACCGGGGTCCCCCAGTGGGAGCCTTGTTTCCTTTGGCCTGCTGTGATTCGGACAATTTTTTTTTCAATAGTGGCAGAGAATAATAGATAGCTTCGGAGATTGAACAGGGCAAAGAGAGGACTTTTAAGAGAAGATTTGTTAGCCGGGGGTAGGGTGGGGGTGGGGAAATGGTCCGTGGCTTGTACTCTGTCTTCCTGCCTCATTCTTCAACGGTTGACACAAGATCAGAGGTGGGCTGCTGGGGGTTCGCAGGGGTTCGGGAGAGCCCCTAGCTAAGTTTCTGTGCAGTTCGGAGAACCTCCAAATCCCACTCCTGGCTGGCCTCACCCAACCCTCCCCTCCCCTCCCCTCCCAAGAGTCCCCACGTGGCTTGTTTTGGATGCAGGTAAGTGCAGGGCACTCTCAGAGGCACAGGGAGGGCAAAAAACGGGTCTCCTGGAAGTTCAGGAAGGGCGGAAATGGAGCC